AAAATTGTATTAAATGAAATATAAAGCAATTATTAAGCTAGGATTAATCAAATATTTTAATATAAATTTGATGAGGTGAAATAGCGTCATTATTTAAGTTGTCAAATAAGAGAAAACACTATTTAACTAAACGCACGTTTTTTTATCTCTGTTATCATAATGATGACGCTAAAATTTCGTATTGTCATAATATTGATTAGTGTTAACAGAGTACTACATATATGCCAGAATAGCACTTTTTTTCTTTTTAATATATAAATTAAAATTGTCTAGTTACTAACATTTATGCTAAACTTATCGAAAAAATTGTTTTGCTAAATCATTTAAAATAATCTTATTTATTAAAAAATAAAAAAATCAGTCTCACTCTAGTCACAGTCAATAACGAAACGCACTGAGGAAACTATCAAACTTCGTTGGTTTGTTATTCCAAAATATATTTAAGATCAAGATAACTTTTTTCTTCTATTTCACAAATACAGACAGCCGACAAAGGTTTTATCAAATATACAAGATTTCAAAAAATATACACTTAAATTCAATGTAGAAATTCTTTTAAGAGAATCTTAATGTATTTGATGAGTAATTTTAACATAAATGTGGTTTTTATTTAAAATTTTTACATATTTGTGGTTCAATTTATTTACAAACTCCATAGCCTAGTGTTTGGAATCTAATTTACACGTGATACTTATGAATGTATAAAATAAATTTTAGTCATCATTGTTGAGGTTTTGAGAATTTTCTATACTCTTTTCAAACTACGCTAACTTTCTCAATTAAATTGCTCAGTGCTGCCAAAGTATCAAGAAAAAGCTCTCAATCTTATTGAACATTTTGCACGTCATTTATTATCGTGATAACGCTGATAAAAAAGTTTTAAACATTTTTATACCCTTCAACTAATATTTGAGACTTTTTAATGGGTTGTTAGTAGTACTGCTATTTGTAGTTATCAGCAAACGTGACCTCAATATAGACCGGCTGCTTTTTAAAACATTAATTATTGTAATGCAGGAAGAAAAAATTGAATTGTTTTAAATAAAATTTAAGCTAAAATTATATTTTCGCAAAAAAAAAAAAAAAAACAATTTATAACCCTATTTTACATAAATGAGTGGCGCCCTTTTGACATTTTAATAAAAAGTAAATTACATAAAGTTGAAAATCTGAAACTTTTTAAGAAAATAAAATTTTTATTCGATCTTTTGTAAGGGCGCATTTAACCCTCACACAGTGCTTTATAAAATTTTTTTAAATAATTCGGTATCTCTTGAACTATAGGAACTATGAGGCGTTATAAGGACCAGTAGGTAGTCCCTCTACGTTTATAATCCGAATAAATAAACTAAATAGTCTTTGAGAAGATCTACAAAATAACAATTTAGATGTAATATTTTTTTCATTTCAAAAATTATCGAATTTGGCGGTTCTATGGAGGCTTAGATTTTTTAATGTCCTGAAAATGGATATTTTGCATATACACATCTAACATCAATAGAAATCGTATTGCCAACTGAAACCTGGATCGGTCCATAATTGACCAAAAGTTAAAGATCGCAGCTAATTTAAAATCAAACAAAAATATTTAAATCAATTGGGTCCAAGAAAAAACTAAAACTTTCCTTATGCTGTTATACCATATAAGTCTACCAAGAACTTAATCAATCAAACCCGAAACTGTGAGAAAGATTGAGTTCAGTATATCCCGGACGTTTTATTTTGATCTTTCTAGCCCATTCTCATATGGCAACATATACACAATTTTAAATAAGTGATTTTTGATGTGGCCAAGGTCAAGGAATTGTGCTGCTTTTTTAGTTTGTAAAACCGCCGACGGAAAACAGTGCCACATATATGAATACACTGTCATAGATTGGAAACGATGTATCCGAAACCAAGTAAGCATTAAACTCTTCCTACATTACGACCTTAGATAGGTTAAGGAGAACACTCTTGATACCATTAAAGTGATTCCTAATTTGGAGGGTCTTCTGCTTTCTTTGGTTCCCGATAGAACTAACTGCTACTTCCTTGAAACTTTGATATAGTCCATATCATGAAAGAGTATTGTACCTTTCTGCGCTCTCGTAGAGTGATGTTGTTTACGAATATTCTTCTTCGTCTTAATTGCTTTGCAATTACTGTTACATGCGTAACCAATGCGATCTGGCATGAGTTTAATCAAACAGGGTCCAGTAAGTATACCAATTAGAAGTAAGTAACTTCTATCAAAGACCAAGTTCTATTAAGCTAATAGACTTGAGGTATGCAAAACTGTCAAAGCAGATATTAATAGTCAACATCTCAATGTTTAGTTCTCGGATATTTTAAACACCTATTTTAATATCTGGGTGAAAACAGTGAGGGAAAAAATTTTCGCTTGCTACCCCAAAATCGTTCTTTTTGCTGGATATTCCATGACCAATGCGACCATTTTTCAGTGGTCTTCACTCCGCGACCAAGGTATCGTAAGAGTGTCATACAAGAACGATCCGTTTGTTGAAAATTTTATTGTATTCTTATTTTCTCTAATGCCCTGAAAACACAAACAATTCAACAAAGTATCCTCAGAAATGAGGGTTCGAACTTTTTACGTTATAGTTGAGACTTGAAGGATTCCAAACTGTCTACGCAGATGGAAATGCTTAACATCTTGAGTTTCAGTTCTCTGTTCCTTGTTGCGACAGTATCGATTTTAGTCTGATATCAAGAGCAGATATGCCTTGCATTGGTCTGAAATACTTATTCCAATGTTACTCTTGCTTTCCAATTCAGTAGAATGTCTTGCAAATACAACATTCTGTGACCGTGTATTCTGATCGTTCAGTCTGCTATAAATATCGTGGAAATAATAACGGCTACTATTGTCACATGTCAGTTTGACAGTTTGCGTGCAATTTGGGCCATTGAATTTTAGTTTTCTAGTTCTTATTGTGACCGTATTGATGGCATACATTTTAGCCTGAAAGAACATTAGACAAGCTGATGAAGTCCAAGAAATCAATTTCATAGAATAAAATACATTCTAACCCAATACAAGTTTGATCCATCATAAACTTGGCACATGAATTCGTCTTCAACCTCTGAATCGGTGCGCCTATTATCAGTTGAATGGTGCCATGGCTGATGTATGCATGTTTCAGTGCATATTATGCAGTCGTCCGTGTCATTTCCAGTATGCAGATTTTCGAGGTTTAAGAAGGTATAAGTTATTTATATCGTGGATCTGCTAACCCCAATTGATATTACCAAATGCTGAGTTTTAATCAGAGTTTTCCATGGATATTTAAAAAAATCCTGAAATCATGGTACAATTCTGAGTGCGATTTGGTCCAACAGAATGTCTTGCATTATCAGACAGATCAGACCTTTTGTATAAAGGCTAGTTTTTAAGTTTATTTTAAGTACCAAAACTTTCAGATACATAATTGTATTTCCTAAAAGAATATTTCAATATTAGAGATTTCATCTCATTAGGAATTAAACCATAAGTTTGATTCAAATAGCAAGTCCAACTATCTAAACTTTTGCTGAAAATATGTCTTTCATTTAAAGTATTAAGCGCCCTGTTATTGTAATTCTGGTGCTACGATATGTCCAACTATAGAGCCATTTGTTGCTGCTGTCAACTGTATAACCAGTTTGTACTACTTTACAAAGTCTTTAAAAAGCTTTTTGTCTCTAACTCTTCTGAGTTCAATAGGTTTTTTTCGATACTACAATCATCTCAGATTGTATCAGGCGAATCAATGAAACTATTCATAACCATTGATCTTTAAAGTAATTGGATTTTGATAAATATGGCTGTACCTTATGTTACGGAGAAGATTCGAACTTTGCGGAGAATCTCATGCCTTATAACATATTTTGATGAGATTCGAAATATCCGGATAATCTTATGCCTTATAAAATTAAAAACATCTGGAATAAAATGGTTGAATAGAAATGGAATGATGGAAAGAACTTTCCTTTTTGGATGTCACCTTCAGTACAAAATAACTGTCAATGATCCAAAACTTATACACTTCTCAACATATAAACTTATGGTCACTGCAGAACCTACATACCCTACATGTCATAGAAAAGATATAAAGTAAAACTTTTTGTTTTCTGTGATAAAAACACTTCGATGTTTACAAAATGGCTGTTTAGCAAGAGAGTTAATTAGTTAAATGTTAAATTTACTTAATTCCAAATCATGTATTTCCCCCTTTAAATGTATGAAGTGTAAAAAATTTCAAAATGCAAAATTTCTTTATAAATTATGTATATATTTTCATTGTCTATTTTCATGTCCTTGAACTAATCTTCAAAAATCCTTAAATTACATATATACATATACAATTTAAGGTGGCTCTCATGCCCTTAAAACAGCATCAAGTGGTCTGGAAAAACGACGAGAATTTCTATTACAATTAGGTTTGGCGCGACATGAGGCATACGAATTGGCCAAAAACTCCAACTTTGATGTTAATGACTATCAGGTAAAATGTCAAAAATGGATTAATAATGGCGTTCAGCTAATTGAAGTCAATAATAGAATATTGAATGAAATACGTAGTGGAAACAGCTGGAACGAACCAGAAGACACATCATATTTTAAAAACCAAGATAATTACAACATGATGATCGTGGATATAACCAGCGTTATCGTTCTCGATCTCGTTCTCCTCCTTATAAAGTACAAAGAAATGATCATAGAGAAGAACGCTATCAACAATCAAGATCACGTTCACCTAATAGGCATTTCAATACAATGTATGGGAGGAAGAATGAACAAAAGTTTTTCTCTGGACATGAAGATGGAAGACGGGAAACTCGTAATGAATCTCCGCCTAGAAGTAATCGTAGAGAAGAATATGAAAGAAGAAATGAAGAATATTTTTTACAAGAAGACAATTTCAGAATGCGCCACCGCTCACGGTCCTATTCTCCACTTATTAATGCTGATCACGGCGTAGAAGAGCCTCATCTATCAAGATCACGTTCATCTATAAGACATTACGATGAGAGAAATTCTAATCAATATCAAGTAAGACGTAAACATGTTATCGATATAACGGAAGATAGGATTCGTGAACAATCTCGTTCTCCGCTTAGATGTGATAGTAGAGAAGAACGTTATCAAACATCAAGATCACATTATCCCATCGAGATTTTGATTCAATGCGAGGAAGAGAAAGAGAGAAATTTTTTTCAGATCGTAATGATTTCAGCAACGATGTACGAAGAGTTGCTATTCGTAAACATTCTCGATCATATTCTCCTTCTGAATACGATCGTAAGGAACAACAGTTTCATTTATCAAGATCACGTTCGCCACCTAGAGGTTTAATGAGCGAAACCCCGAACGCTCCCGTTCTCGTCCTTATTCTCCAATTAGCAATGATCGTAATGAAGAATTTTATTATTCATCAAAATCACGATCTCCCAACAGGAGAATGAACCAAGATTTTTCTTCTCAAGATATTAATTTCAGAGAAGGACTAAGAAGAGATACTAAACATTTTGAGCATTTAAGAGAAACTAAAGCTTCAACACAACCAAAACGTGAAATACCTTCTTTACTTACATTAGATGTTTTTGGAAATCAAACACCAGGATCCCAGAATATCTTTCAAAATCGCAATATTCCTTCACTCTTATCTTTACCCGTACCAGATTTAATAAATTTCCAACAACCGTCAACATCTGCTAAAGCAAACCGCATTAAACAGGAATCAAAGTTTGACAACAGGGGAAGAACCCAACCAATGAAAAGTAAGCCAACTACTTATGTTCAAACTACGGGAGAAAATTCAGGACTTAAGCAACACATAGCAGAAGTTCCCATCATAGAATCTGGCCTGAAGAAGCCATCACCCGGCAAATTAAAATTTAATCCACAAGATTATTGGTCACAATGGTGGCCGACCTATAAGTATATTGAATATTCAATACCAAAAATAAATCCAAACGACAGTGAAATAAAGGCATGCATCAAGTTCTTGTTTAAACCACCAACAAATAAATTTCGTCATAGCAAGAATTCACTTTTGAATAAAGGAGTGAGAATCATTATGAAAACAGTGGATATAAATGAAACAAATTATTATGTGCGTGACATCTATAAGTTATTCAAATTTAAAAAACATTTAGAAGATCCGAATTTTCAAAATCATTTAACGCCGCAGGAATTAAATTGTATCGCACCGGCATTGAGACAATTTCAAATTAAATCCACAATGGCTTATCTATATCAAGCTATGATTTGTAGATGGCACATTTCGCTGAATATAATGAAGAAAGTTCAAGCTGGAGAACCGATTCTCTCGAATTATGCTCGCAATTTACTCAATGACAAATGTTTTCATTATTTAGTCATGGAAGCTATACGAGAATTGAAGGTATATTTCTTAAAATTCTGTATAAATATATTTAATCATATAACAAAACTAACTTAAACTGTTTCCACTTTTAGAAAATGTGTCAACAAGATTGGCCTCAATTTGGAGAATTTTATAAAAATATTAAGGCGAAAAAAATTAATATTTATTCAATGGGCGTGGGTCCCGGCATGGATGTAAATAATGTTAATCCCATTGATAAATATAATAATGAAGACGATTATATTAATATTTATTAAGTGCTTACATCTAACGTACATACATAATTGCTTAAATAATATATGAAAAAACAATGCAAATTATTTTAAATTTAAATGTAATTTATAGAAATTTAATTCATACTAAAGCAGACTGACCACTTAAAATTTGTCATTTCCGAATTTGGACTTGCAATACATAAACCACACACTATGTATTATTATTTATTAAAATCACAAATGATAAATTTTTGTCCAATTTTGCATGAATTCCTTTTAAATATGGTAAATATATATTATGAATGAAAACCACCCAACAAAAGAGTGCATTATTCGTAAAATCACTGTTGCAATAGGAACCGAAGTAGTACAATATAGTAATCAACACATACCTAGAAACCAATCTAAATCCAAATTCCTGGATGTTGATACTTCTGGCAATTCGTTCTCATATTAATTTTTAAAAGAATATATCGATATTTAAAGATACTCATTCTCATATTCATTAAAATTTACAAGCGACCAAAACACAGTTCGACACTCGTTCTATGGGAAAAGTTCTTAAATCATTGATATTTGCTAAAATCCTTATCAGAGTCCTAAGACAACATCTATCCAGAACTATGAGTTGACTCTTTGTAATCCATTTTACTGTTCCCGGACTAGTTGATGGTGTCCCGGAATCTATGAAAAATCATAAATAAATTGCCACCATAGAGAAATATGGTTTAACATCAATCCCGTTGCTTTCAGCACTGACGGGCCACAAATACATTTATGAGATGGTACCTATCTATTGATGAGAACGTTGAAGAATCGCTCATTTTCATCTTCGTTTGTACGACAGCCGTTCTTAGCTTTATCCTACTTCGTTCAGTCGATGTTATTAATTTTTCGAACAGGTCGTGAAAAATCTCCTACGAACTACTCTCGTCAGTAGGAGAGGCTATCTCAGCGGTCTAGCTTTGAGCTCATCATCAGAAACAAAGCTAACTTCTCCAACTTCTGAGTGGCATCGGTTTCACATTCAGATCAGTCAGTAACTGTCCTCCATGCTCAACAATTCTGGCGTGAATTTTCGTTAAGATCAGGTCACTCATTCACGAACTTCCTTTGATTTCCTCTCTTCGAACAAGGGTTGGAGAGAGATCGAACTGTCGACCACGAAACCCCCCCCCCCCCCCGGGGGGCATGTTACCTTGACGAGATCTCCGCCGTGGTGTTATTGCAATCCCGGGGTATAAAGAGGTGGCCAATACCTCTGGCCGGGACTGAAAAATTGGTTACAGTCTTGCATAGATTGACAGAGGTCAGACCAGAGCACCGCATAATCTGGTACTACGGGTGGCCAGTTGCCTGCAGGACTATGTCCTGTCTGGTCAGTTGGTTGAGGTTCCTTCGGGATCCACGTAGTGGTTGTGGTTTAAACCCAAATTCGCGGGGAGAGTAAGTGGCAGTTAAAAGACTGATGCATGATAAAGTCAATATTTCGGGATAAGTTCGGTGCTGTTGCCGAAAACAACAGATACCCCACAGAGGAGTGACTGTGGGACTAAGCGTTGGAAATGAGTTGGTATTAATTTTATATGGTACGGGATGAATGTGAGATTCGGCGGGCCTTACCCCACCCGTCTACTTAATGAATGTGTCGTATGTTTTTCTCTTATGAAAGTGTCGTATGAATGAGATGTGTGCTGGGTTGAATGATGATGGTTGAAAGGTATCATATACATATGATACCATTGAATTTTCCTTCCTTGTCCAGATATGTTCAGAGTATACTCTGTTCATATCAGAATTACCACAGTGTGTCCCTTTGAATAGGAACAATGTCTACGGCTTATTGATGGATCGTACTTCGGCCCACCGGTTACGTCTCTAGGTGCTGTTGCCGAATCAACAGAGGCCATCCAATGGTCAGAGATTAGATAGCTCGAGTAATCCAGCAAAGTACTTGTGCATGGACCGGTCAAAGCCAATGTACAAAAATTGCCAAGTGAGTTCTTCATTGAAGAACAAAGGGGCGATGGTAGACCGTTCTCAAGTCTACCCAGTGGATGAAAAAGACCACCGTGAGATAAGGCCGCCAAGGCAGGTGCTCACGTTAAAACTCTCGACAGTCATGTCGACCACGACTTACACTCGAACTCAAGTTTCAGTTCTTCAAGTGATGTAGCCATCTATTCCTCTAACCTGCTAAATTTTTGGTTCAACTGGGCGAGTCTAGGATCACCTGGATTGGTATTTAGGATGTCATATCGTTCGTCTGGAAGCCTGGCTGATTCTGCTGGGAAGTGCGGCACACTATGGATATACGAACAGCAGGAATAAACGAACAGCTGTTCAGATGACAGTTTCGCGGAATTTCCTATATACATCTTAGACGTTGGAGGGAAATATGAGATCTTTGAAGATGACTGTTTTCTTTTGGTTTACGTATTGACGGTGTTCAGAGACGATAAAGTCGTTAGGTTGATGCAGACAAACGATTATGGGCATGTGATCTGATCTCTGAGAAACTATTGCTCGCCATGTGGCATAGTAGATTAGACCAGCACACGCAACCGTGATTATTGAATTCTAATCTGAATCTGTGATCTTTTTCAAGATGACAATTAACTAAATTAATACCCGGACTTCAGGACAATTTTAGATTCTTAAATTGTCGTTACAATTGTCTTGGTTGATATTCGTTGAACCTCGAGTCGTTGTGGTACGTGGAACCGATTGTCGTGTGAACGTAATACATTTTCATTTTTAAAGTTACACCAGGGAGTAGTACTACAGTAATATCAACTTAAACTATAATACCGTTACCTTTACAAACTTTGTATATCATTTGTATTTCATTAACTTTGAAGATTTTAACTTTTAAACTAATATCTTTAATTGGCTTCGAAAGAAGTGAAGGACGAGTGGAATTATTAATTTTAAATACCAAGAATATTGAGGACAGATGTAGGTAGGTAGATTTCAGAATTTGATTATGTTAGAGTTTACTACTGATATTTCAATAAAATAAAGACAAAATTGCGAAGAAAACTTATTAATTACAAAAAATCTTAATACCATAACTCTCTATTACTATTTCCTTCTTTCAGGATTTTGTATTAAAAGTTTCAAAGTCAATACCAATGAAAAATATTTTATCAATGTCTGCCAAGCCGAGGAAATTCCCTCTCCCGAAGACATTTCCGAAACTGAGTTAACGGCCATTCTAAATTCGGAAGAGCCAAGTTCATTTCGTATACCAATGAGCATATCGGAACCACGCACAACTAAAGATAAATCCAATAATCCCGTTGATGCAGTTGATATTGCCATCAATCCGAAATTCTTTATTAAAATTGAAAAATCTTTGCTATTTCGTGATTTCTTTTTGGCCCTCATCGCCGAGGCTCTCAACGATAAATACAATGTTCAGATTAAAGTTGACAAGGCTATAATTTTGAACAATCGCAAGTTCATTGGTACTCTGGTATCACATCGTGTGCGTAATAATGATGTTAAAACTGTATTGAGTTCTTATAAAAATCCCAGCAAAGAAGATGTGGAAAAACTTAAAACTCTTGAAGAATCAGCTGCAAAAGGTCCGAAACCTTTGGTGCAAGAAATTGATGTGAATGAATTGAAAGCCTTAAAACAAAAGACCGAACAAGTTAAGCAACAACAAACCACAGATTCTATACGCATTAAGAAAGAAATATCCCAAGCTGCTTCCATCTTACCCGATTATAAGTTGAGAGCACGCATTAAGAATGAAGCGGTAGAGGAAGTTCAAGCTGAATTTTATTTGCCAAAATGTGTAAGTAATTTGAATGTTTCCATAATTTATGACATTCGTCTAATTTTTCTTTGAATCTATATGTAGATTTCTTCTCATGAGTTGACTTTGGATATTGGCGAAGATCGTATACTTTTGGAATCCATGAAGCATGGCTACTTGTTTGATAAATTTGTCAATTATCGTTTAAATCAAGAGAAAGCTCGCGCCATATTTGATAAAACTAATAAGGTTTTTATAAAACGAATTTTATTCATTTATATCATAAAATACGTTTTTAAATTTTTAATTACAGATGCTCCAAATTCGCATTCCTGTTATGACGGCTTAGTCAAAAATCTTAGTTTCCAATGGCCAGTTGAGTTATGTTTGTGTATTTTTTATAATTTAAATTTTAATTTTCATTTACATATACATACATATAAATAAATATTACTATTTTAAATAGCAATTACAAACAACTTGTAGCAATAATTTAAATATAGCTGTAAAAAGCGATCGATCAAATAAATAGGAGCTGTAAAGTTTTTAAGCTTTAAACAAGTTTAAGAAATTCTGCTTATTAAAAATAATTTGATTAGTTTCCTAAAGTGGAAATTTATATTGAAATAATTTTATTTTTATTACTTTGCGGTAATCTTATTTATTTCATTAAATTTGAACATTTAATTAAAATTACGAACAATTATTTACCTTCATATCGTCAGCTAAAACAGAAATAGTATTAACGAACGAAAAAAATGCAAAAGTCCTTTTTTCCGTTGATTCTGATGTACTGCATCAAAAAAAATGTTCACAAACTCTTCATATGCAGCATTGTCAACTGTTAAACTAACTGATACGTTTTACCGTTTATCAATTTGTTTATTGAAGATAAATAAATCGTTCTGATTGTAACTATCTTTTCATCTAAACAGCTTTTGCTTGCCCTGTTCCACTGCCAGAGCCTTTTCCCGTACTGCCATCCTTACATTAGGACAGTCGGCCAGAAGTTTACAGATCATCTCAGTCTTCTCTGATGCCTTGGCAGCCTAGCTATAATTATTGTATGGCAATCTTTTAAACTCCGCAGCTCGCTCCGAAGACATGAGCTCCTTGATTATCAGGGTACTACTCTCTCTGCCTTTAGGCATACTGCAGCTTGATTTTGCAATCGTCACTGACCGTGATGTCGGGTTAGTCCTTACTTAGCAGGTCGAGCAGCCCGTCTATCGTGTTAATTTGTATATATTGGAAATCTTTTTAGGATCCCACTAGTTCAGAGGGACAGACCGTTATGGAATGCAAGTCTTTAAAAAAGGATTTTTTGTACGCAGCATTCCGATTGAATGAAAATATATAAAATTGTTTCGTTTTTCAACCGTCACTTTTTGAATTTTGTATAATATTGGACCTAGAAATGTAAAGTGATTCAATTGATGAAATGATAGTCTATAAAATGGCACTTTCTATTACTTTTTCGTTCTTTAACTGGTGTTTTTTATTTTTCTTGAATACATATATAACTTAAATCAGACAAAAAACCTCGTGATGGAATG